AGGTCACATTCTAGGCATTCATGCTATTAACATAAAAAGCTCAGACAATTGTTTAGCAGTCGCTCTAAGCAGAGAAGGTCTGCGACAAAAGTATTGGTCCATTTCAAGACTAATCTTTCACAACATAACCTGGTGTTTTGGGTTTCCAGAAAGAGATCTGATGACTTCATATGTCAGCAAGAAGACCAACAAATTTGCTGCTTTGTGCACAATAGGGAATCCTACATTCCTAGACGCATTCTCAAACCGGTGAACCTTTCGACTAGCCTGTGTCTTTCCTCCTCTTATGTTTATTCCATAAGATTTGAAGATCAGAAAACACTGGGCAATAGTTATTTTCATAGCACCTTCTTGACATCTGGAAGAACGCAGTTCCCCTGAACTTCTGGAATCTTCCAGAAGTATATACTGTATTCCAACAAAGGACACTTTCTGGAGCAAAACCCCTCAGATGTTTGGGTGAACGCTTTGGAAGCTTATTCTCTTATTTGGTATTCCATGCAAACAAGGTTTCTTTTTATCTTCAATTTGAACCAAGAAATTATTTTGCCTACATTGTGTCACATATATTTATATTCTCAAGAGGAAAAACTGCATCTTCTAGTTGTGAAAAGCATGCTGGAGATTCATTTAAAATGTATTACTTCATTCTGTCAATCAGGGCATCTCAGAACAGCTTATTTGATAATGGGGAACACTCCCTTATCGTCCGTACATATATAGGTTTCTGTAATATAGTGTCTTGGTTTTTACTGAGGATGGATTGGGGGGATATTTTCTTATTTGGTGTAGGGCCTAACCCTTCAAATTTTAGGGGTAGGATGTCTGTCCTTGGGACGAAAATTCCTAATGTAGGTACTGCTGCTAATTCAACAAAAAGGAAATTTATGATTAAAAGTAGTTTTTTATTTTATAATGCTTAAAGATGTAACTGTGTGGGTGTGAGTTCTTGACACTTGTGTCTCTTTTAAAGGTCACCATAACCAGTACAGCACACTATAGTCCCTTGAAATCCTACCGTGGTAAGTAGCCAAACCATTTTCATATTGTTTGTCATGTTCCTTGAGTTCTCCAGGTGCTTCTAGTCTGAAGATAAAGCTAAAGTGGAAGTTTCTTATTTGGACAGAATTTGTTGGGTGAAAGCCTCAGCTGGCACTAAGTTAATAAATTCCATTCAAAGACAAGTGCAATTGATCTTCAATGTTAGCAATATCCAAAGAGGAGGTTGGATTATGCTGGTGGTCAAGTACTGTATACACTCGAGTATAAGTCGACACGAATATAAGCCGAGGCACCTAATTTTACAACAAAAAACTGGGAAAACTTATTGACTCGAGTATAAGCCTAGGGTGGGAAATGCAGCAGCTACTGGTAAATTTCTTAATAAAATTAGATCCCAATAAAATTACATTAATTTAATATTTATTTACAATGTATGTATGTAATGAATGCAGTACGTGTGTGTTTGTGTAGTGTGTGTGTGTATATTATGAATATAGTGTTTGTGTGAATGCAGTGTGTGTATATAAAGCAGTGTGCGCGCATTATATATACAAACACACACTCTGCATTATATACACACACACTCATACAAACACTGCATATTATACAAACACACACACTCTGCATTATACAGACACACACTGCATTATATAAATATATACACACACTCTGTGTGTGTGTATATAATGCAGAGTGTGTGTGTAAACTGGGTGGGGGGGCATTTTTATTAATATTATTATTTTAATTTAAAAAAATATATATATTTTAATATTTAATTAGTTTTTTTGTCCCCCCTCACTGCTTTTTACCTGGCCAGGGAGGGGGGTATATCATTCCCTGGTGGTCTAGTCGATAGGCTGTGCAGTGGGGGGGCCGGCAGGAAGCGTTTCCTTACCTTTACTGCCGCTCCCCTGTCAGCTCTGTTCCCTTCCGCTCACAGTGTAAGTCTTGCGGTCTGCGTACCGTGCGGAGCGTTGCCACGGTAACCCGTGGCGACGGCCGTGGGTGCCGCGAGACTTACACTCTGAGTTGAACAGGGAAGGTGAACGGAGCTGACAGGGGAGCTGCACGGAGCTGCTGTAAAGGTAAGTAAACACTTCCTGCCGGCCCCCTATAGGACTGCCGGGCTTGTAATGAGCAATACGGGTCTGTATTAGAGCAATGTAAGTTGCCATAATACAGACCTTGACTCGAGTATAAGCAGAGGGGGGATTTTTCAACACCAAAAAAGTGCCGAAAAACTCTGCTTATACTTGAGTATATACGGTAAGTCTCAAACCATTAGAAAATGATTTGACTACTTACCAAGGCACATCATGGTATTCTTCAATGGTTATTGTTCTTGGAGTCCCCTTATGCCAACCCTGGATAAGTGGTCAAACTACTTACTAATAGTTTGACAATTACTTGGATCTGTCCAATGCCTATGGTACTTCCAGTCTGCAAAACTATGGTAGTGTGTAAGTCTACATTAACGTACCAATTTCTTTTCCATTGTTCACAGCTTAAGTACTTAGACCTGAACCAAGGCATCTGACAGAGCCAGCTAAGTGCACAAGAATTTGTAAACTGTTTCACAGCTTACTCTAAGGTTGCACCATAACCACTATAGCACAATGTAGTGGTTATTGTCATTAAAGGGACACTGTAGTCATCTGAACCACTACAGCTTTATGTAGTTATTGTGGTATCTGGTCTCTGAGGGCTTCTTAGTGTAAGTGATGCCTTTTCTCTGAAAGGTGTTTAAATTGCTGCCTAGGAACACCTTTAATGGCAGTCACTTCTGCACTGGCGTTCAGCGTCTCAATGCTGTGCATAGAGGCGCCGAACGTTCTCCATAGAGATGCATTGATGCAATGCATCTCTCTGAGGTGATGCTGAGAGGTGCAGCGTGGCTTTTTTTCAGCGCATGTGCAATAGCCTACCAATGCTTTCTCATAAAGTTTGATCTCAACCGTAGAGCACGCTCCATCTGCGGTGGGACCTGCACTGTGTGGGAGAAAAGGTGAGCTTAAACACTGCTTCACTGTTTTCACTGTTCTGATGAGGGCTGGGGATCTAAATAGTGGGGTTAACACTATATTGTCAGGCATACATGTTTGTATTCCTGACACTTTAGTGTTCCTATAATATCCCTTTAAAGGGACACTATAGTAGGACTTGACAAACTTGCTTTGAGTCTAGGAGCCAGCTAAAAAAGTTAGGAGCCTTTTTTTCCGACAAAAAATAAAATTCTTAAAGGAACATTATAGTTACTAGAACCACTAAAGCTTAACCCCTTAAGGACTGAGCCAAAAGTACACGTTTTGATCAAAATAAAACGTAAACAAAACTTGGAATTTGACTATATGTCTGTTCAACTGTAATTCACCTCTTTCATATTAAGTGCATCCACACTTTTTATATATCCTTTTATTCAGGAGAAATCAGGCTTTCATTTAACATCAAATATTTAGCTATGAAACATAATTTAATATGAATAATATGTATAAAAAAAATAAAAATATTTTTTGTAGTTCTGCGTGACATTTTAACGGTGAATGTCACAATACTGTTAGCTTTTACTGCAATAAAATACACATATTTGTATTCAGCGATGTCAAAACAATACCCCCTATGTACAGGTTTTATGGTGTTTTGGGAAGTTACAGGGTCAAATATAGCATGGTACATTTTTCATTTTTATTACATTGAAATTCTCCAGATTGGTTACATTGCCTTTATGGGGTTAATTCTCATTCCTGGGCCACCATATGGTCTAAAAGCGTAACCAATCTAGTGAATTTCAATGTGAAAAAACTGAAACACAAGCCTTATATCTGACTCTGTAACTTTTGAAAACACCATAAAACCTGTACATGATGGGTACTGTTATACTCACGAGACTTCCCTGAATACAAATTAGTGATACAAAACCGTAAAATGTATCACAACAATTGTCAGTGTAAGTACTGTTTGTGTGTGAAAAATGCAAAAAACTGCATTTTTAATAATGATATCATCGTTGTAATACATTTTACTGTTTTGAAACACTAATATTTGTGTTCAGCGAAGTCACCCGAGTAAAACAGTACCCCCCATGTACAGGTTTTATGGTGTCTTGAAAAGTTACAGGGTTAAATATAGTGCAAGCAAATTAAATTAAATTCTATGGACTTACTGCCTGGGTTACCAGGTTATATTATATAAATATTAGGGATCGACCGATTATCGGTTTTACCGATATAATCGGCCGATATTCGGTATTCTCGGCAATATCGGTATCGGCTAATTCAGATACCGATATTGCCGATAATACCTCCTAGGACCGCCAGGCTCATTACAAGCCCGGCGGTCCTGGGGGGGGGGGGCAGAGAGCAAGCGATTACTCACCTCCCAGCAGCTCCTCCAGCTCCCCAATGCAACTCTCGCGAGACCCGCGGCCGTCAGAGCGTTGCCATGGATCACCATGGCAACGCTCCGCGCGACACGCTGGCCGCGAGAGTTGCACTGGGGAGCTGGAGGAGCTGCTGGGAGGTGAGTAATCGCTTGCTCTCTGCCCCCCCCGCAGCTCAGCCAATACCACTGGACCACCAGGGACTGCTATATCCCCCCTCCCTGACCAGGCAACAAGCAGGGAGGGGGGACAACAAAAATAAATAATAATTAATTAAATATAAAAATAATAATAATAATTTAATAAAAAATGCCCCCTCACACACTGCATTATATACACATACACTACACAAACACACTGTGTATATAATGCAGTGTGTGTGTTTGTAAAGTGTGTGTGTGTGTGTGTTTGTATACAATGCACACAAATACACTGCATTATATACACATTATACAAACACACACTGCATTATATACACACACTATACAAACACACTGTGTATATAATGCAGTGTGTGTGTTTGTATAGTGTGTGTGTATACAATGCACACAAATACACTGCATTATATACACACACTATACAAACACACTGCATTATATACACACACTGCAGTGTATATACACAGTGTGTTTGTATAGTGTGTGTATATAATGCAGTGTGTGTTTGTATAATGTGTATATAATGCAGTGTATTTGTGTGCATTGTATACAAACACACACACACACTTTACAAACACACACACTGCATTATATACACACACTATACAAACACACACACACACTGCATTATATACACACACAGTGTGTTTGCATAGTGTGTGTATATAATGCAGTGTGTTTGCGTAGTGTGTTTATATAATGCACACTACACAAACACACTGCATTATATACACACACACACTATACAAACACACACACACTACATTCACTATACAGACACTACACAAATACACACACACTCTGCATTCATTATATACACACACACTTTGCATTTAGTATATACAGCATTCACTTTACGCACACTACCCACACACTACACAAACACTCTGCTTTCATTATATACACACTACACTCTAATACACACTGCATCCACTACACAAACACACATTGCATCCTCCACACACACTACACAAACACACAATGCATCCACAACACACACTACACAAACACACACTGCATCCTCTACACACACTACACAAACACACACAGCTCCCCTGTCACACTGCATCCACTACACGTGGCATGTATATTTTGTGCATTTACCTTTAGAAATAGTTTTTATTTTCCAAAATGGTAAATGTACAGAATATCGGCAAATTATATCGGCTATCGGCCTGAAAGTTCACAGAATATCGGTATCGGTATCGGCTCTAAAAAATCAATATCGGTCGATCCCTAATAAATATATACGTAGAATTAAAATTATTTTATTTATATATATATATATTATATTATATTATATTATAGTGTGTGTGTGTGTGTCACAGATCCATCTGTATAGACTGGGATTGCTGGTTCGTCTGTTTTGCCTTTTCGTGGAATTACCTGTTCGTATGCCCGAATGGACTTAACCCAGATAGCCTTCCCATGGAGTCAATCGCATACCGAAAGACTGTAATAGACTTTGACTCCATGGCAATTGAACTATGCGTATGGGATCTGAGCGCTATTCGCTAATAATATGCACTCACGTCCAGGCTTTCTGGGGATGTGTTACACGAATGAGAAATGTTCGGCAATTGTAAAGTTATGTATTTTTATGTGTTTTTTGTGTTGTATTTAAAATGGCGATTTGCCTCTGTCCTGGGAGATAATTGAATTACTTCTCAATTATCTCCAGGGCAGAGGGGAGGAAACCATGATGCATGCTGGGAATATTATGTGCCTGTATGTCCTAACATGCTATATGTCTGTCTGCCATTACAGTCTCCCATTTGGTCCCCCTAGGGGAGTGTCCACCAGGTGGGAGACCTGCATAAATACGGGCGGGTAGCCCACAGTAAACCCAGTTCATGTTTTACCCTCAATGCGGAGCTTGGTCTCGTTATTGGAGGGGAATTTACTACACGAATAGCGACTGCCGTATGGAATTATTAGCCGCTTGGGAGATATATGGTTTCGGCTGTTAGCGCGATTCGTGAGTTTACGGATTGGGAAGTGACGTACCCGTATGGGTCCCGTTCGGGAGATTGGAGTATTCCCCTGCTTGCGGTTCGTATGATTGGAGTTAGTACGAATGCAGCTTGCGTTATGGTGAGGGGAGGATTAACTAAACGGCGGTTTTGACTATTTGATGCAGAGGGTGCCGTTACTGTGTGTGTGTGTGTGTGTGTGTGTGTGTGTGTGTATATATATATATATATATATATATATATATATATATATATATATATATATATATATATATATATATATATATATATATATAATTTTGATATCAAAATACAGTTGGAACGAAATTACACACACATATATATTTTATTATATATTTTTTTAATTATTTTTTTTTTTCCTTTAATGTTTGTGCATACTCAGACTAACACCAAATGGAGAATACCGTGTGCCATTATTTTCTGTTCAGTTCTCTGTTTAGTTGAAGCTCTTAATAAAGTGACAAAACCAAAATACCAAAAGCACTTTATCTGAAAGGGTTTGCTCCAATCACCATAACCACTTCAATGATTTGAGTAGTTGCGATGGCAGAAGTCTGGATGTGCACATTTCTGTTTAAAACACTGCAAATCCAGATTTTTAATACAGACATATAATCCGTTTTGACCTGGTGGCCAGCGACACCCCTGGCACAAGTGACTTGAGCAGCCCAGAACATTTTTTTTAAGCTACATAATATCAGATCTGAGCCAAAACTACATCTGTCATCGGCGCACTGAAAATAGATTAATCTTCTTCCTTGCAGGTAGCGTTTCCTTTAAATTTAATATTTTGTTGCAACATAGCTTCATTTTGGATCATTTTAAAACAGTATGCCCAACTCATGTAGGTGTCTAACCCTGTGTATAATGCAGAGATAAGACGAGTAAATGATCATCCTAGTCTTTAAAGGGACACTATAGTCACCTGAACAACTTTAGCTTAATGAAGTAGTTTTGGTGTATAGAACATGCCCCTGCAGCCTCACTGCTCAATAATCTGCCATTTAGGAGTTAAATCCCTTTGTTTATGAACCCTAGTCACACCTCCCTGCATGTGACTTGCTAAGCCTTCCATAAACACTTCCTGTAAAGAGAGCCCTATTTAGGCTTTCTTTATTGTTCTATTTAATTAAGATTTTCTTATCCCCTGCTATGTTAATAGCTTGCTAGACCCTGCAAAAGCCACCTGTATGTGATTAAAGTTCAATTTAGAGATTGAGATACAATTATTTAAGGTAAATTACATCTGTTTGAAAGTGAAACCAGTTTTTTTTTCATGCAGGCTCTGTCAATCATAGCCAGGGGAGGTGTGGCTAGGGCTTCATAAACAGAAACAAAGTGATATAACTCCTAAATGACAGTGAATTGAGCAGTGAAATTGCAGGGGAATGATCTATACACTAAAACTGCTTTATTTAGTTAAAGTAAGGTTAGGTGACTATAGTGTTCCTTTAACAGTAACTAGCATACTTTACTGCGGAAAAAATATTAAAGCGTGCCTGTGATGGTCTCCCCGTCATTTGCTTTCCATTTCCTTATACCTCTTTAATCTCATTTTCTGAATCCTGCTTCCTCCTTGCCACTTGCCTTTTATTTATATCCATCATCTTTTCATCCCTGTGCCCGATCTCCGAGAGCAGCCATTTTGTTTTCCTTTGTCCATGATTCGGTTTGTCTTCTGTGGGATTTATTTCACTGATGCATTATGGGTAATTATGATTGGCAACTGAAACGGAACCTTGTCTTATATGCTCCTCTCGGTGTGTTTTTTTTCTCTTCAACTAGACTGTTATACATTAGGAAACGTAGTCCCAGTTTTTCCTGTGGTTTTTTTTAGTTTGTAGTCACAGAGAACTGAATAGAAGCAAATAAAGTAACATTTATTTTTGGTGACAGAGCTGCTTTTTTAAATGGACAGGATAAGCACCAAAATAACTTTAGCTGAATGCAGTGGTTTTGGTGTATAGATCATGCCTCTTAGGAAGTACCGTATTTTGTTTCGGACTATAAAATACACTGGAATATAAAACACATATTTTAAGTAGAACTAAAATGACATGTACCTTAATTGCAGTAAACGTCTGCTTTTCTGTAGTGTATACTGAATGCTGTGTTTGTATCTGGTGTGGGCTATGGTGTAAATAAATTTTTTAAATCCCTTTAAGTTTTTAAAATAATATTTTTGTTGCTTATACCCCTCCCGGCTTCTTACTTCTGGCCAGGGAGGGGAGACACATAGTTTCCTGGTAGTCTATGGAATCAATGTTGCACTAGGGGCAGACTCTACGTGCGAGCCCTGGCATGATGCAGCATGGAACGTTGCAGTGGTAACCCAGAAAAAAAAATTGTTTATGTATGTATGTATGTATAAACACCCCATTATTGTTCCTGCCTCAGCCATATTCCTGTCCCTGTGTTATGTGCTATTTTTGTTATCAAACTGGCTTTACGCCCAACTTCGTAAGTGAAATGTTTAGACTATAGACACCATTTGACCTTGCTACGCAAGTTCCTCATTATTTTTTCATGGCCTTGTCTATTTGCCAAGAAATCAAGACTTAAAGGGACACTATAGTCACCAAAAGAAGTTTGGCTTAATAAAGCAGTTTTTGTGTATATAGATCATGCCTCTGCAACCAGTTAGGGAGCACACTTGCAATATGTCCCGCCAACTCCACAAATTCTCTGGCGTAAAGTGGATGGACCTAAGGACAGCAGCTTTTTCCCGGCTTTAAAGTAAGGTGGGTCTCCAAGGATTTAAAGCACTTGTTTGCCCCTCAGTGATTTAACTCCTAAATGACAGAGAATTGAGTTGCTTAAACATGATCTATACACTAACACAGCTTCATTAAGCTAAAGGTGTTTTGGTGGTTAGAGAATCCCTTTAAAGAAACACCCCAAGTACCATAACCACCTCATGTTTGCTGCCATTGTTATGGTGTCAAGAGTGCCTAAAATGGTTTACCTACACTCAGTGGGAGACACCAGGGCACAGCAAGCTGTAGTGGTGCTTGGAGTGTTCCTTTTAATAATGTATAGCTTGATGTTACACACACATTATACCTACTGTTGGTTTACTGCCCACCGTAAGTCCTTTGTCTGTTTATACATTAGTAATATTTATACACTTGCTGTAAAACACAGTGCACAGATTTGTGGGAGTAGGGATGCAGTTTTTTAGGGAAATTCTGCACCTTACCATTTGTATTCTCTGTTTCTGTTGGCACTTATATTTATTTTTTGTGAAACAGGCACAAGGGAAGTAAGCATAATGAGTGGGTTTAATTTGAATCGCTTTCGCTATGACAAAAATAAAAGCAGCACTGCCGCAAGCGTATCGGGAGGAGACAGACCTAGTACTCCAGTGTCTGAACACACAGATAAAAAAGGTAAGAAATAGCTACATTTTAGATAATTTCCACGCTCCCAGACTGGTGCCTGTTTCCAACGCTAAGCAATTCTAGTACAGTACATAGCACTAATGTTCCTTAGAAAAAGATGGCCAACACTCCTACATCTTAATATTTATCAGCCTTGCTGCCAAGAGAATTCATTGATTATTAACATGATATCTACTATGAGGGGAAATTAATATTGAACCACCTGGTTGATTAATAGCAGCTACTCAC